CTTTTTGGGGCATCTCCCACCTCCCGTACCCACCGAAACGGGTCCAAAAACTCCCCGCAAACTCAGCCTTCGCAGCTCCAGCCGGGTCCTTCCCCAGCCGGTTATTAAGCACATGGCAATTATTCCTTTATTATTTATTTCTGTTATTCCCCCAGCCGTCCCTTCATCCATCATCCGTCCCTGATGGGCAAACATTGACACCTCAAACCAATCTCCCGTTCACAGAGAGGGGAAAAGAAAATATATACATAAGCCCTTCTTTTCTCTCCTTTTCTTGCCATGTCTTTCTTTCCCCTCCATTGAGTACGGGGCTGGCACGAAGCCATTCTGGCAACAGCCAGCTTTCACTTGCTAATCATCCTAAATATTGAAAATCAACGCCTAGAATAAACAGCTCAAAGATTGGGGCCATCTCTGCTCTGTTTGGAAATGCTAATCTCGCTGCCTTTTGTTTTCCTTGTGTGGATTTGGTGCTGTGCGTTTGGAGTAGGTCACAGCTCAGGAGTTCTCCCTCCACCCCCAGATTTTCCTTTTTTTTTTTTAAATTATTTCCCCCCCACCGTGAAAAACTCAGCCCATTTTAGCATCCCAGGCTGGGATGGCGGGGTGGTGAGGGGGGAGAAGGGGGAGACAGGATGGAGGGGGTTAGGGAAAGGACTCGCCTTGCATAGCAATGAATGAAGCTCCAAAGTTTGGGAAAAAAAACAGGTTCCCAAAAGTACATCCAGGAGTTCATGCAGGTGAGAAGTCTCATGGGAACCACACTTGGGCAGGCAGCTCCACCCTTGGTACAGCAGGTCCCCGGGGGAGGATGAAGATGGGGATCCTCATCATCGGGGCAGCCTGGCCCCCAACCCTGCCATGAGGGGCAGAGCCTGGGGACAGCTTGGTGACTCTCTGCCCCGGTGACACTGGTTTTTGGAGGGTTTGATACCCGAGGGGATGGAGGTGCCATAGCAAACCCCAGACAGGCTGTGACAGGCCCCAGGGCTGGATCCCCATGTCTTTGCCTGGAGGGATGAGGCTGGATGTAGACACCTTTCTCCAGGGTTGCAGGGGCTCTGGGAAAGGCGACTCTGAAAACAGAGAGGGGGGGAAGCCCCTTTCCTGCTTTTCCAGCTCCAGCCTGGCACTCCTAGCAGAGCCCAGTGGGACCTGAGGCATTTGCGTAGCTTGGATGGCTTACAGCGTCCTGATGGGGAAACTGAGGCAGGGCAAGGTGGTGGTCTGATGTGGACCAGAACCTGATTATCTGGGCAGCACTTTCAGCGCGTGCCTGCACCCTCTTGTGTCCAGCCGTGTTTTTTGGCATGGGGGATGCATCCTCTGGCCTGGGGGAGCCCACCCGGCCAAGCTCCCTGCCTCCCTCCGCACCCCAGGGAGCCCCGGGACGGGTCAGTGGGCCGCCTCCTCTTCATCCCTGCCATCCCCCCAACGCGTGCCCGAGTAGGGGGCTGCAGCCCTGCAGGGCCCCTGCTCCTCCAGCCCAGTCCATGCCACAGGTGGCCCCCGTGGGCAGGGGGGGACGCATCCAGCCCCTGCAGCGAAGGGGCTGAGTCGCCGGAGCAGTGCCAACATCGCCTCCTTCTTTGGGAAACCACGTCATCCCGAGGTCGAAACTTGGCCAGTTTGCAAACAAGCACTGAGGCCATGGGGATTTCTTTACAAAGGTTGTTTTTTTCAGGTGATTTATTTCCAGGTTTGGAGCATTAGGGCCACCCCACATCCTGAGATTTCCCCCCACACACAGACTGCCATCAAGATGGTGAGAAACTCACTTTAGAAACCCAAAGTAAACACCTTCCTTTGGTGTCTGACTCCAGGGGATGGGTCTTAAGCCACACCAAAAAAAAGGTGCAAGCAGGGGCAGGCTGTGGGCTCTGCACCGGGTGGACCCAGCTCACCCATGGGTGCTGCTGCCAGCAAAGGCAGCGTGAGGGTGCGCAGGTGCATTTGGGGAATGGCCCAACTTGCGGACACATGGGCATAAGCCCTGAATATCCAGGGGTTATGGATGGGGCCAGTCAGGCTGGGCGGCATGGGGACGTGGGGTGTGGATCCCCTAGGATGCTCCCATCCCATGCACAGGGGCTGCTGGGCGGCACGGGCAGTGGGAGGGCTCGGGGGCATTACGAGCAGCGGGTGTTGACCTAGAAATTGCAAAGAATTTGGCCTGGCGTCATGCTGGCAGGCAGCGTGCCAGCCTGGCAGCCGAGGGAAGCACGGCTTCGCTCCGAAACGGCGCTCCTTTTCCCTGTGCCCAGCTGGGAGAGGCGACTGCCGCCTGCCCTGGGAGTTCAGCGAGCATTTTGGGCTCACTGGTGTCGAGGGGTGGGATTCCCATTGCTCCTAGCAGAGGCATCTCTGGCTGAGCGTGAGCTGGGGATCTGGTTTTGTTCCCTTGGGGAGTGCATGCTCCCAGCTGGGAACACAGGGAGCAGACCTGCAAGTGCCAGGGGGAGTAATGGTCTATCCTGGCAGCTTTCAGTTACGAGACACATTAACAGGCAGGAATGTGCAAACATCAAAGGTCGGAGCTGTGCAGTGGCAAGGCGGCTGCAGCGGCTCCAGCCCCCAGGAGCGCAGCAGGAGAAGGCAGGACCCCCGTGACCCGCTGCAAGCAGAGAGGGATGGTGGAGGAGGGTCCCTTCCATGTGGGACTTGTTAGGCCTGCACCCCTCGGCAGACCCCATGGCCTCGCCAGGCAGCTCCTTGCCAGCCCTGGAGTCACCGAGAGCACTACTGTTGAGGGGACAGGGCCAGCTGCAGCCCTGCATGGCCTCCCCATCCCCGTCACGTGGGGGGACACGCGCCTGACACTGACCCACAAGGCAAACACCCCTCCTTCCTTCCCCAACAACACAGCTTAGAGAGAAAATCAGCATCATCCCCAGTCCAGCCCCCAGCCCCTATAGTTACTCCGTCCCCAGGACCGACGCTCCCGGTGTGTGCATACAGATCCCACCCCATCCCAAACCCAGCTGGGAATGTCAGCTCCCGCTCTAGGGAGGAGAGGAAGGGCTCAGCCATGGGCTGGGTGGCAACGTGTCGGTCCGCAGTACGTGCCAGCTCCTTGGTGGCCCAATGGGCTTGGCTAGAGGAGGGGGTCTCTGCCCTGTTCCCCCCACTCTGGAGCAGTGCTAAATAAACAGTGATGAGGGGAACCTCATTAATCCTGGTCATTCATTTACAAAAAGCCATTTAGAGCTGGCTATGCAGGCAGTTATCAGAGCACAGGGGAGGTTTTCCCAGCAGGGCCTTAATTCCCTCCGCAAATAAAGCCAGAGGGAGTGAGAGCACAGCTTGAGTCTGTGATGGATGAGGGCTTGGGGGGACTTTCAGGGCCAGCCTTCGAGGGACTGATCCCCACGACCCCCCTTCCTGCAAGGAGCAGGGAGCCGTTGAGGGATTCCCCATTTGGTGATTACTCGGGTGCTGTTTCAGCGTAAATGCTGCTGTGCCGCATCCTGTCCCTGGAGCAGCCAGCCTGGCGCAGTCCTTCCCAGTGCTGCACAGGAAGGACTGGGAAGCTGCAGGGGCGCAAACACCAACCTTTGTCCCACGTGGACCTGGTTTTCCGGGAGCGTGGCACATCCCTACGGCTCATTGCAACCCGCTGGATCCAGGTCAGGATCAAAGCGACGCTGGTGGGGCTTGGAGATGTTACCCAGGAGGCAAAGTCCTTTGGTGGATTTGGTTCCTGTCTCATCCCTTCAAGTTCACGGGCACGGTAAGAGCCAGGGCGCGTGCCTAGGTGCATCCTGTGTCCTGTCTCTGCATGCTGACTCCCTCCTTCAGAGGCTCTCCCCTTTTAACCCCACCTGAAAGGGAAAGTTGGGGATGTCTCAACCAGCTCAGAGCTCCTGGTTTTTCTGGCTGAAGATTAATCCGGCTAAAGATTAATCGCCTTTTCTATCCGGCTGACCCAAGGGGAGACAGAATAGGCTGCGTCTGGGGAGGAGGCGAGGGCAGTGCCACTGGCAATGGTGTTCCCACGCGTTCTCGCAGCCCGGGACACCGGCGGGTCACACCGTGGGGGCACACAGCCAGGGCTGGCCCTGC